GGCGAACCGAGAATGCTAGACCATGAGCCTGATTATGGTTGTGATAGGGATCTTGGCCGATGATGACCACTTTCACTTTGTCCAAGGGGGTATGTCGAGACCTGGGGTTGACCTTATTAGCAACATAGTTCGGCGCGTCTCGCGGATGAAATGGCTAGGAAGGAGTTGCACCAAGAGTAAATCTCATTCTCTGGAGGAAAGATCTTTGCACCCGACTCCTTCTCCTTTTTGAGGAATCGCTTCAAGCCCAAGAACTCCGGTGTGACCAGCTCCTCCTTGAGCTTAGACAGCCAGCTTTCGTGCAACGTATCAATCTCCAGTCGCAGGAGATCTTGCTGCTCAGGCGTCAATGAGGCCACCCATTTGTCTTTGTTGAAGTTCGAGGAAGGGGTCGAAACGGTCAATGTTTTGGCGTCGACAGGCCTGGGCTTAGGGGCACCGAAGAAGGACGTGATACTGCCATTGGCCTTGGGCTTCTTCGCATCACACGCTGGTGTTGATAGATGGTTAGCATTACGTTTGAGCCCTGTCGGACTAGCCATGACGCGCTTCCTTCGTGTGTGAATAGACCTTGAATGTTGAGATCCGCGACTTGAGAAGGATGAAGGGGTAGTAGTAGTAGTAGTAGTAGTAGTAGTAGTAGTATAATAGATTCAAGAAGAGACGGAATGTAAATACTCAGTGAGTTAAGCAAGAAAACTCACCTAGTCTGGAAATGTGATTAATCCACATGTAGAATCATCTCACCATAATTGAGCTGTGGACTTGAGTGCTCCGCATCAGCACTTAGCTTCCCCGTGTAAACGCGTCGCTCCAGCAATGATCGCGTGGCTCACGCGTATATAGTACTGTAATGTGGACTTGGCATCAATTTACCCTTTCAAGTCTATGTCAAGTTCAAGATCCGAATCCAGATGAGATTTCAGAGCCTGCACTCTCTGGTGCTATCTCTTTATTATTAATAATCCTTGGGGCGATCAAGACTGGTACCACGCGTTCCCAAAGGTCCCGAATCATCCCTATCCGTGGTTAGTCTATTTCTATAGCAGCACTGCTAAGTGCTAGCTAAGCACTTCATGCTGCTATGGATTAGCGTCAGGATTGATCGTTATTAGAATATTTGGAGTATAGCCCTGCACGAAACATTGAGTATCTATGAAGCATACTAACATAGCCGAAAAGGAACCAGCAACCGTCTTCCTGGGTCCAGGAATTCTGCCGCATCTGTATTTTCAGCTTACACTATGATGTGAGGATGGAATTTAAATGGGTTGCTGATACTCCCCAATCGCGAGGTCGCAGACGAGCCATTCGAGCATGTGCAGATTGTCAGCGAAGAAAGGTATCATTTTACTCTTCAACCAACCTTCCTCTCCCCGCCCGATCATTGCATTCTGCTGTGTGCTTTAGCCCTCTTCCCGATATATATTGTCATGCCCATCTACACCCGAACAGCATCTAATCTACAATGGCGGTCTGAAGAGCTAAGTCATGTTGTAACAAGAAACGCTGCCGCCATATTATCAACTCAGGGTCTGTCTCAAATCAGGCGCAAGCTCTTCCAGGAGATCAACTTGAGCGTGCTGCTCTTCGTTCCAACAGCAATCAGCAGCCAGACGGTCCATCATCCCCTCTGGGCGGCGCTGGGCCAGCGAAGTCTACCATTTTGACATCTGTGCCGCCTGGTAATTCCAGAGCAGAACGCTTTGTAGGAGATCTCAACCCAGAAGCTGTGATTCGCGAGAAATTGGATGGTGCATCTGGCAGCCGCTTTCGAGATCGGATTGGCCTTTGGATAAGCTCCCAAAGCAGCGATGGCCCCGGAGATGATACAGCGTTTGATGTAAACACTGCTCCGGTTAATTTGTCGTTTACGCGGAGTCAACATTCCCAATCTGTTGCCTCTTTATTACAAGAGCGGTATTCGTCAGCTTTGAATGCTTGTCATCGTCTGCCTTCGCCGACTCGGGACCAGTTGATTGCCATCTATTTCTCCAGAATCCATCCTATCCTTCCGCTTATTGATCAAGAATCCTTTCTTCGTGCCTACTCCCATGGAAGTGCGTCCGTGTTCCTGGAGCGGGCAATTTGCCTTGTGGCTGCCAAGGATCAAGCCGCCAGCTCGTTTCTTCGTACAAGCATCAATGGTCCTCTCAGTACGTCTCGACAGTTCTGTTCCGAGATTTACACTGGACTAGTTGTCGCGATGGACGCCGGGCTCGAGTCGGACCGAATCACCCGCATACGTACATTAGCGCTGATGTCTTTACATTGTGAAGGCCACGAGGGCGCAGAGGCTGCACCTATGCATCTTTGTCGGGCTATCCACGAGGCTCAGACCGCAGGTCTGCACTTGAACAGACCTGATCGAGTACACGGGGATTCTCTATCGCGACTTTTCTGGTGCCTCTGGACCTTGGATAAGATGCACGCAAGCATAGGCGGCCGTCCAGTTCTCCTTGCCGACCGGGACATTGGACTGAGAAAACCCATTGTCAATACCTCTCATCCTAAGACTACATTTGACGTGTGGTTTGCCATCTCGGATTTGCTCTCGACTGTGATCTCATTCTATAGGCCATCTGCGGATCCTACCGTCGGCTGGGAAACCAACTTTCCGTCTTTTGAGGAGATCATGGGTGACAACTTCGGGGAGGAATTGGACTTTACCATGTTGGGTACGCTCCGTGATCTTTCAAGGAGGATTTTCTCTTCCCTCAGTCGACTGCTGACCGCCTCGAAGGCTTCCTTGAAGTGTATTATCATGCCGTCGCCATTCTTTCGTGCAGGTCCGGGATGCACGATCGCCCCCAAAACTCGAATTCCGGTATCCGACAAGGTCTCGCTGCGGTCCGGATACACTCCATTGTAGCAACTGAATGTGCCCAAGATTTGCCCCCTCTCCCCATCATTCCATACGCGCTATCGCTTTCTATGAGCGTCTCCTATCAGCAATTTCGGTCAAGTAGGCTGATTACCCATTTTAACCGAGCAAAAGCCAGTTTAGAGGCGTGCTGTTCCTTGTTGGAGGGTATGGGCATTTACTGGTACTCTGCAGAGGCAATGGCACGTCTGGGACGGAGGGCCTTGCGTGAAATTAACGTGGCAAAGCCTGGACTGCACCGATCCCAGGGACAGGGCGTTCGGCAGCTGATGGACCCTGGAAGCATCCCGTCAGTGTCAAATGCAGTCACACCTGCTTCTACCGTGCAGCTAGCGGATGACAATTATAGCACTGGCGTTTCTGGTTGTGTCCCCGCACCTGTTGCGCCACAAGAGGGTCCTACGAATTCACCCACAGAGTTGCAGAGTCTCGAAGAAAATCGGCAGGATGCTCTTGAAGATATTGACATGCTTTTTGGTGACTTCCTTGACCTGTCCTTACCAACAAACTTCTGGGACCCGGTCTTTCTCACTGAGGAGGACAAAGGTAGCACGTGACGGCGTAATTTGGGAGCGTGTCAGTATGATAAAGTCAGTATGCCCTGTGCACATGTGCCGCGCTTCAGAACGAAGGGACCTTTTCGTACCCTCTCATTGGGAGAAAACGAGCATTGTGGGAGGTGCGGGCTGTCGATCGTCATTACTGGCAGTAACCTGACCAGCAGATACTTATGGTTTCTTGAACACTATTCAACTACATAGTTCTCTACAGAAGGGTAGTTCAAAGGCTCAAGCGCGTACGGGAAATGCTGAGACTTCTCAAATCCAAGTCCTTTTTTTTTTTGCGGGCGTTGGCCTCTAGCATCTTGATGCTCTTGCATGGCTGCGAAAACAAGGGTGTTCATTATCAAGTCCAAACACGTAATTTCCAGACGTAAACAGAGACTTGTGAAGTTCTGTCCAGTCGAGTCCACTTTAAATCAGTCTAGCATAAAATGAGGATTTTAAATAAGGTTGATATCTATCTATATCGTGGTACTAAGGTACAGGAATACTCGGTACTCTTTGCTAATCCAGTATCTTAAAACTAATTGTCATTGGATACTACTTGATATCATATACCTTATGAATGGCTAGCCCCTGACTTTCAAGCATCGGCTAACACCCTTCTGCTGCACCTAAATTCCTGGGGTTAATATAACAATATAATAATTTCCAAGCTTGAACTACCATGGGGTAGATAAAGGACTACCACTTCCTCCCTTCAAAGCCCTGAATAATAGGCTGAATCTGAGACTTTGACCTTGGGTTCCACCATATCTTTGCAATCTGGGCCGCGTCTTTGACCCTAGCCCAAGATCTTAGATCGATACGTTGTTGTTGCTCAGTACCAAGGTTTCCCTCCTGTTTTTATTATGTATATTATTATTGACTAAGGTTCTGGACTCTTGAGTCTCCTTGATCGTCGGTATATTAAACAACCATTACTATTAATAATATCGTTAATTACTATTATTCCGCACGGAGCCTCCCTCTATGGTTATCCCCAATCCTTCTAATCCTTCTCATTTGTCCTTGTCCCACCAGCTCTCAAATTACATATGTCAGCCTGGCTGATAACAAAATTAAATTTGTTGCCCCCGAGGTGGCTCCGTAATAATAATGTTCCCACAGACAGTCAGTCTACTTACCTAGATAGTCTATCAAAGGCCCATAGTTACTCACTTCAACGGGCTCATTCAATTGACCGTTCCACAGAGCATTTTCATTTGCTCTGCTTGTCCTCTTCTATGGGTTCCAACTTGAAAACACACACACTCCCTTCGATCTCTCCTGCATTGATCCCTGTACCATCGTTCAATACGGTCAGGAAATCAGCGCGCATCGCGTCCCTACCTAATGGATCTGTACCACTCGCGCTTTATTTGGCTTAACACTCCTCAAAAGGCAACCCATTGCGCTGCCAGCTCTCTTTAGCGTAGTTGAGTGGGAGAGCACGATTTACATGGTCTTCATCACCAAAGTCCAAGAAGAAAAGAAAATTTAAGGCTCCCAGAATCCGCCCACATTGTTGATCCTGATTTGGATGACTTGTGAAAGACTCCGCCTCAGGATTGATGGCGTCTGCGCCCGAAAACCGAGAGCTGCAGGCAATTGCCCCCGGTGCCGAACAAGACAACGATCCTACACCTAGCGACAAGAAGCCATGTAGTAGATCGCCTGTTCACCCTATTCCACAGTTGCAGGGCCCGTTCGAAGAATCAATCTTCGAGGCAAGCCAGAAACAAGAAACCCAATGGATCGTCAACCTTGACGCCCAGTCTCGGAGAAAAGGGTTGCTCGAAAATGACCAGTATGAACGGCTTTGTGGGAGAAAATGGCGCCAACGAGCTGGCGAAAGGCAAGTGAAACTCCATAGGACCAGATCAAGGGCACTTTCCTTACCGTCGACCAACAAGCTAATAGGTCACAGATATCATCCTCTGTGGAAGTTGATCTCTCAGATCTCATTTGGAGTGCATTTGCTGGCCAAAGGATTGGCGAAATCCAACCTAGAAGTTTTGAAGATCCTCCAGCGTCATGTGGATGAGCTTGACGGATTCATTGAGAGAAATACCGAGGACTACTTCATCATCCAGGTTGACGTCCGCACAAGGATTCAGTATCTCAGCCTGCCCCTCCAGAATTTGGATGTTTTTGATGAAATGTTGCAGGATCGCAACTTTCGCCTCGCTATGATTGGATACAATGAGAAGATCGAACATGCAATCGACCGATTTACCATGGCAGTGAAAGATTCCCTCAAAGACATCCAGAAAGGAAGAGAAGCAATCGGTGCTTTGTGGCATTACATCGGAAAATCTGCGAAAGAAAATAGGCCCCTCCCCTGTGACTTGGTCGCTCTCTATAACGCTATGCTGGCAAATACAGAAGGCTGGAACATGGCGCTGTCTAAACTTAGCAGAAATGGAATGGCCCTTGAGTCAGCTCTTGCACAGCTCGGTCTGGCCATCACCGAGATGCAACGGCGCATAGGGATTGCAAGCAGGAGAGATGTGGTTAGTATCCCGCAATGCATTTTCCTCAAAATTCTCAGTAGGGACGGAATGTTGATTTTAGTGCTAGGTTTCGCTGCTTCAGAATCCCGACGGAGCTTTCCACCACAGATCATCAAAGAAGCGTTTCTTCGGAAAAGCTTTATCCATCCGCGCATCCCGCTCCTCTGCCTTAGCGAAGCCACTACCTTCTGACCCAGATACTTTGGCAGCAGTCGACCCGCGCCCCATATCCAGGCAGACGCGAGGTCACCGAATGTCACAGAAGAGCGTTCCAAACCTCCGAGCTGCCAAAAATTCCGAGGAGTTTTCATCGGAAGCTGAGGAACGAGGCCGCGCCAAATCCGTTCACGGTGCCCCTGAAAATCGGGGCTCTACCACTTTTCTTCCTAGGATACAGAGTAGCCTCAGTAGAAGATTTTCCCGGGCTAGACTCGCGACAAAGCAGAACGTGAGTGGAGATGTTGAAGGGACGCCGAGCAAACGACCCGCCACAGCTCCTTCCAGATCACTCAAATCTCAAAGCACTTTTCTGGAACGACCTCAAAGCCTGAAGCACAACAATAAAGATAATGACAAGGACACAATGAATACAACAGTCCCGCTTCCGCCAAACCGTTCTTCCAAGTCCGGGCGCTTGGTCAGGCCGGACACCATAAAAAATCAGCTGTTGCACTTCTTCCAGTCGGACAGAGTAGTCGAGGCTTGGGAGAGCGCAGCGAACAGAGAGAAGAAGATTTTTCGCTCGGTGTCTCAAAAGAAAAAAGGGGGCCCATCGAGCGTGTTCCGTGCAAGGGCTACTGATACCTCTGATATTCCTGGCTCGCGGACGACCTTCTTTGAAAAGGACTTAGAGCAACAAATGGCCTGGCTGCAGGAAGGAACCGAAGTACTGAACACATATTCGTTAAAGCCAAGACGGAACGTTGCTCCTAGAATTCATGTCCTCTCCGTACATACAAGCCTGATTCAAGAATCAGAAGAAGAACATTACTATGGCGATGAGATCAGGGAGAATTCTGCCGGAGATGGTCAATCAAGAATAACGGCCCTTCCGGCACCACCCACGGTGAGCACAGCCACCGCCGTTCAATATCATTCCTGCGTAAAGCTAATTCTTGCAGATCCTTGAGAGATTTCCTCGTGTTCCATCTGTGTCCGGATGAGAGACGCACTGCCCATAATATGCTCTGTTGTTATTGGACTTCCAGCACGTTCCGGCATATGTGCTTCGGACTCGATTCGGAATTTGCTGGCTTTGATCATCACTGAAATCAATGATCGAGGGCAATGAACTGCACAGGGAGTCCTGACCTACATCCATTCCTCGGTGTAGAAGATAAGACAAGGAGATCGAGGTTCCTGAAACTTGAACAGGAAAGATAAGCTCGCCGTGCAGGGGTCGCCACTGCCTACTACTAGTAGTGGTGTGCCCCCTGGCACGGAAATGCCCACTAACTGGTTTACACTACCGAATCGTTTCCAGCGGCCCGTCGCACCCGAAAGCAAGCGCGAGCCTTGCTTCCATCATGATAAGCCTGTTGTAGGACTGCTAATAGTCAAAGGGGCTGCATCTATTATATTCAGCCTTGTCTCTGCGCAGGTGGTCGAGAAACCGAGACTTGCCATTTATACACTTGCGGTAGCCGTCATCAATCACAGTAACGAACTGGCCGTATTTGCGGAACAGGCATGTCTCAGCTCAAGTAGTTGTCAATCCATATATCTTTGGGCGACAATATGAATCGAAGACACAAACAAAGATACTTATACAATCATAGGGTGAAAAGGGACTGAGGCACAATGCGTTCTTCCCTTGCGTTGCATAGCTCAAAAATTCCAGAAACCCAAGCACTATATAAAAGACATGTAGTAAGGTAAAGAAAAAGAAGGGAGGGGGAGGGGGAGGCTGAAACTGTCCTTCAATAGTAGTTTGATAGCACATAAAACGCCACTGGAACCGAACAAAACGAACAGACTTCTACCACAATCGAGGATGAAGTGTCCTAATACACATACGTCGAGCAGAGCAGGAAAAGAAAAGAGGTCGAATTACAGGCTCAACAGCACGAGGTTCATGACATGAGTTACTTGCAGCGTTTCTCAACAATATTGGGGCCATGCTCATCGTATTCCTTCTTTGAAATCCACATTTGATGGAAGGTCCCCAGACTGGCAAGGATGCTGCCTCCGACCCACGAACCAAACTTCCGCTCCGCCGTGTTTCCGGACGCAGAGATCCTCACTCTTGGTCCAGGATAACTCTGCATAAGCTCCTGGTTCAAGCGATCGGTGAAGCCATAGAGCAAGCTCGATGCGCCTGTGACGACAACATTTGCCAGGAGGTGGGGACGGACATCGACATCGACGCCGTTCAGCGCAGCCTTGATAAGTTCTGGCACAGTCTGCGCTTGAGTTGGAGTTGGGAACACCGACTCTGGGTCTGGAATGGCCGCTTTGGCGTCAAACAACGATTCAACCACCCTGTACCGGTCGATCCCAAACACTTGATTATAGCCATCGGGGAACTCAAAAGGTCTTCCAGGACTGCTCTTCGCAACCTCCTCGTTGGAGACGCCGTTTGGACCGGTAGCGGAGAGTTTGTTGGGTCCGGGCCACACCTGGACAACACACTCCTTGAACTCAGACAATGTTCGTTCTTCCATGAGAGTGCGGTAGGACGCATCTGGTGCCTTGTCAGATGGAAATGTCTTGTACTTCGCTTGCGCGGGCTGTCCAGCATCGACGGCTGTCTTAGAGGCGATGAGATAGTGCGGTGTGATAGTGATCGGTTGTGGTGAGTTGGTCTTGAACAGAGCGCGGAGTTGCGATGAAATGTAGTCGCCCCCGAGGGGAGAGTGTTGAACACCGCGCTTCAGTATCATTCCATCGTGGACCGGAGTTACGGAAATGTTCGAGGCGCCAACGTCAACGACCAAAGCAGAAGCCTTACCGGCAGCGAAGCTAAAAGCGACGTAAGCACAATGATCAGCTAAGAGAATGAGTGTATAGAATGATGAAAACATACGCTGCAAGAACACCATTTCTGGCCAGGTAAAATGCTGGCGTCCCCCACTTCTCCATGGCAATTTCCACGGTCTTCTCGCGCGCTTTCGTAGGATTCCAGCCGCACTCAGTCATGAGGAGGGGGCTGTCCGCAAGAGGCTTCTCATCGGTTTCCACACCTTCCATTTCCGAAGGCAGTTCGCCATTGGGGACATCGTTTAGGCCGTTCTGAAAAGGATTTCCAGCCTTTGGTCCAGTCAAGCGCGATGTAAAAGAGTACTCCCACACTTTCTCCGCCATGTCCCAGTCCTCCACAACGCCGTCCCTCCCCATCGGATTATGAATTGACAGCCCGGGCCGGGGAGTGACGAAGATGTCATCGCCAAAGATAAGTTTCTCTTGCGCCTCGTAGGTGTACTTTCCATAGTATGTCGGGATCACTGATTTCGGTGTATCTTCACCGGCAAACCCTGCGCGCGTTGTAGAAAATCCTGGGTCAAGAACAATCGCCGATATCTCATCTTGTACGCATAGCGCAATCAGCATCCATCGCTTTAGATATAGCCGACAAGGTCCAACATACCTCCACCGTATTCGGCGGTCGATGGTGGAATTGAAGGGTTCATTTTGGTATTCGAAGGGGTACAGCCTGCTTAGAAGTCGAGGCAGACTGCGTCCTGCTTCTTTTGCTGACAAGTATCACTGCTGAAGCTGATCAGGCCACCAAAAGATATATTGCCAGACCTTCCTTGTAAGACAGTTCCAGCTCAAGATCGGCAGGTTGTGTAGGTAGGTAAAAAGTGACTGTTAGGTCTTATTGTTGCGGCGCGGCGGCGGCGGAAATCCTAAGCAGCGTGCGGGCGCGAACAGCGGAGACCAACCACAGACAGCTTCGTTGGCTGCATCATCACGCGGTGGCCAATCTAAGCTAGTTTGACATTCTTCCATCTTTTAAATCATCCATTCTCCGCCATTTCCGTTTTATACTCGGTTACACACACACTATTATCTGGGCAGCATGGATACAGATATCAGTCCGAATACTGAACCAATTTTTCGGCCGGTCAAGAGAAGGAAGTTCTTGCGACGCCGGGAGCTAGAGCCTGAAGATTCACACGAAGAAGCGCACGTCGCAAATGCGAACGGCGCTCATGATAACGATACATCCGCATCTCAACCTCCTTCACAGTCAAATGATACGGTTTCGTCAACAGATCTTACCCGTTTACGACGTCTTCAGCGAGCTCGCAAAGGTGGCATTGAATTCTCCAACACCTCTCGACAAAGCACGGATAAAACAGGCAATCAAGTTGCGGTGACGACAGTAACAGCTGAAGATCTTGAGAATGAGAAGATACGAGCTATGTGCGATCGGTTTACAGCATACACCGGCCAATCAGAGGATGTTGACAAGCATATGTACGATTCCGCATATTATTTTACAGTTTGCTGCGTGTGATAGAGACTAACAAGATAAGGATGGCTTATATAGAGACCGAAATGGCTAAACGACACAGACAGCAGATGCCCGCCAATTCTACTGACTCGAACATTTCTGCAATTAGCCAGGCAAGCTCCGATGGTCTTTCGACAACTGTGGCTTTGCAGCGCGAGCCAGCATCTCTGGGTAAACTGCACGAGATTGATCTTGGGCAAGAAGCAAAACTACAGAACATCGCTCGGACAGAAGCTGCGACGAGGAGACTTGTGGGAGATGATCGTGGTGCATCGCCGGCCCACGAAGACCCTACTTCCAGTATCGCTGCGTCAGGGAAGGATGGCAGGCCGTGGCGCAATCGGAAACGGCGAAACAGCGAGGATATCGAAAGGGACAGACTGGTGGAAGAGGTCCTGCGTGAAAGCAAATGTATGTCTTATGTACTCGACCTTTCCGTGTGGGTTGTCGGTCCATTGCTAATGTGTTCATTCACTATAGTGGACGTTTATGATGAACCTGGAGAGGAAGCCCTGCTAGACGATCAGGCGGCTGATGATAGGGTCGCGGAGCAATTTCGAAGGGAGTTCCTCGATGCCATTCAGTCTCGTCGCCGTGTGACACGAACGAAGAATACAAAGACCGCAGCGAAGCCCGAAGTCCCAAGGGGTCCTAAATTGGGCGGTAGCCGGAGTGCAAGAGCTGCTATGCGTGAGAGACAAGAGAAATCAGCTGGTCGAAAGTGATATCCTTTGTTATTGCTATCCTTTGGTGGGAACGCAACACTCCCCGTTTTTTTTTGTGCAATCATACAATATGTGGGAATATCGGAGACTCTACATGGAAAGTGCTTCGTGTTATCTGTGGTCCCAAGGTGGACCACTACCATAGCCACGAGACGGCCGAATGTCATATTCCGCGACATGCTTTTCATCTTTTTCACGGGCTGAGATGAGGTAGTTGCATTCTTCGGCTTGCAAAATCTGCGATAGTCGTGGATAAGTGATTGATGAAATGGCAAAGCTCTCTTGCAATGCTTCTCTACTTCATACCAAGTGACAAAACCCTCGACAATTCACGTGTTTCTCTTATCCAGACCAGCATTCTCTGTGCTTCAGCCACCAGGACCACACAGGCGGGTCGACAATCAATCATCAGGTCTCAAATTGAGTGAAGTGGGGTGCTTCATATTTGCTTTTCCTTTTTTCCCCCTTTTTCTTTTACTTCGATCCCCTATAAGGCGTCGAGCTTAATTGGTTCATTGACGTGACGGACCAGCGACAATGGTCGCATATACTTACGCACAGCCAGTGGCGGAGGAAGCTCGATCACTATACGGAGGCGTGCACCAAAAGTTTTGACCCCCGCTAGTAAGCTTGGCAGTATCCGGCTGACGCAGCCCCTTAGTAATTTATATGGTAACGCGTCTAGAAGGAAAAATCTTTGTTTACATTCTAGTATTCAACTCTTTGATACTATTCAAACTTATTATTTTCATCAAATCTCTTGATTTTTAGTGGTTAGCATCCCTTCCTTACTATTTACCATGCCTAAAAACGGTTTCCATCCAATTGAATTGCGCATTCAGATTCTCGGGCTAGTAGCCTGGGGTATTGACGTCAAGGATATTGCTACTAATCTAGAGGTCCCTCCTCGATCTATTCGGAAGATGATACAACGTGCAAAAGACCGTGGATTCAGCCCTGGAAGATGTGAACGCGTTCG